AATCATGGGACTCTGCCGTCCCAACAAAAATAACATAATTAAATAAAATATTGAAATTCATATGTACCCAGACTCTGTGGACACCCTGTACATTTCTGAATGGCTTGCTAGAATTAAGTACGGTTAATTTTTATATCCACCTGATCCCTGATTTGCGGCTTTGCATGATTTTAGATCGCCTAGGATTAAACTCACAGATTCCGGCATAACGGAAGTCAGGCCAAACATGCCACCCGCCGAGGATCTGGAATCCAACAGGAAGGTGAAACTGGTCTCTTGAGATTCCGGACTTGTCGCCCGGATATGGCAGAGCCTTAAAAGTCCGACTGCACCGTCGAAAAGCTGGTCGATCACCGTGGGGCTCACATCGGGCGGCAGAACATTGTCTTCGGTCACGTTGATCCGAACAGTGGCCTGTACACTGTGCAAACGGTTGCTGTCGTAGACGACGACATTGAGAAGCTGCGAGGGCGGTGGTGTACCCTGTCGTAACAGCTGAATCGTGGGCTGAAGCGTAATCAGATAAGGTTACTTTATGCAATCCTTCGAGTATAATTTGAAGTAGAATTCGACTGAAGAATGTAGGGGCAATAATAATGTGGGTCGGCAACCTTAGATATACCTGACCCCAGGATTCTGTCTTAGGGGGACGGTGGTGATAGGGGGTTTTACGGGTAGATCATGTCAAGGGAAAGAAAAAAACAAATTACAAAATAGAGCGTATAGAAACAGAAAATAATAGGAATAATTATTTAGATAAGCTAATGTTTAGCGCGCGATAATTAAAAGTTAGGGTTTCATCACGCAAAAAAACAGCGAAATATATGCAAAAAACACAAACAAATAAGTAAACGTGTGCCAAATTCTTGCTTCTAGGCCTATGTAATTCAATGAACTTGAAAGTGATATTAAAAAATAAACAAAGATTAACTTTTAATAAATCAAAGGAGCTTGAGTAACAAAAAAACACAATTAGACAACTTTGCGCATGCCGCTATGTGAATGCATTAGTTAATGGACATATCTTTACTTTGAATAGCTAGGGAAGAATAAGCCCAAACCAGGTCAGGCTATGTATTTTGAGCTCATGTTGCTTACATAGCCTGTTAGGAGCCCAGCCTAACCGAATGCCAGAATAACCTTGTTGGCCGTGTTCACGCATCGCGTCCGCAGCCGACTGCGAACAATGATTCCTTTGTCAACAGCGGACTGCCGCAGGGTTTTGTGCCTTCGCTGTGACTGTCCCTTCGCGATGAACCTAAACAGTTGAGGCGCACGTACGCACACGCACACGAGCCCACACGCGCACCCAACTACTCACAGTTCCTTGAGGGCCAATAAGGTGCGCCACACGGCAGGTGACCTTACTCCAACGCGCCTAATCATGCCACAAGTGAGCGCGCTTGACAATCACTTATAAGAAACCGTCAGATCTCAGACAGTGGGTTGCAAAAAGGACTGGGCACAGCCAGTCCACCTCAGGCCCGGACTTCGACCCGCGGTGGGACATTCAGCCCTGGACAACGCCAGCGGCAAACCTGCCACCCGAGACAGCAACTCCGGGTTTTGTACACAATAAACTCTCATATGGGTGGCTTCAAATTATACGCCCTTCTTGTTG